TTTTTCTCATCTCACTCAAAAATAACACAATAATATCCATCACTGTATATTAAGAGTTCAGTTGGTTGTTTCATGGTTAAATGCAGTGAGCTCATTTTTACAAGGACCATCAAAACCAGCAGATATAAATTGAAATCACCTGAATTTTGAGTGGTTTGCTTAGAAACTGACCAAAAAAATCAAAAAGTGGCTAGAAATACAAGACTCTCTCATGTTTTAGTTGCTTAAAATCAGGGGCACAGGTGCTTTGATTGGCAAGTGGACACTAAAGGGTCGTCCACATGGGAGGTAACCAGCAGTGATGTAGTAACCAGGAAGTCGATTTGGATCCTGAATAAAATTTTTCTCAACCTGGAGGCGAGTGACTAAAGCGATTTTAAATATGAAAACAGTTTTGTTGTGATTTGGCGCTGTATAACTTAAAGTGAATTCTGGAACTGCAGGTGGTGACAGCACATAAAGACCCTGATATTGTAATCACAAACAAATGTGTAACATAACATTATACGCAGTCTAGTTGTTCCCTAGTTCACTGTACAAAGAAAGAGAAAAGGTTTCTAATAAAACGAGAGGAACACAAATATATCACTGTCAGAATGCAAGCTTAACAACAGGCAAATTCACCACAATAATAATAATAATAATAATAATAATAAATAAAACAAACAGTGACTATACTCCAACCTTCTTCAGCGCAACTCAGAAGGAAAGAAGTGTGAAGACAGCAGAAAATCAAAAAGGCCTTCTTATTTCTAAAAGCCCAAAAGTGTTCGATTTAATCCTCCTTCGGTGCTTTCCCTCTCTCCTTTTCTCCCTGCCCTCTCCTCTAATGTCACATTGTCCTCCCTCGCCTCCCATCTTTATTATTTCTGCTCAGAAGGAAGCTTTCAGGCTCTCTGACACATCACAGAGAAGTGTTCCTTGTTACAACCAGTCTGGAGAGCTGACAGGCTTTTTATTCCTTCTCATCTTTTGCCAGACCTTCACCTCTTTTCTCGTTCACTCTCCTCTCTCACCCTCCTAACCCTCCCCTTTTTCCACTTACTCAGTTTCTTCTCCCCCTTCTTGCCATCTTTTTCCATCTCTTTTGCCCTCTAACACATAATTATTCTTTTTTCTTCATCCCTTCTCTTTGCTTTCTATCCTTCTATCTTGAACGTCCCTGTGTAGAGAGCCGCTTATGTAACAATAATATTACACAAATTCATTTTGAAAATTGAGTCATTTGTATAAAGCGGGCAGTGCTGATAACAGCCTCCTGAAACGTCTCGCTCGAGCTGTAAAATGAGCTGGTGCTGTTGTGTCCGCACTCTCAGCTGTTTGAAGCAGCAGCAGGTTATTACGCCATTTCTGCTGGAGTCGTCGCTCTAAGGTGGCAACATATTGTTAAGGGTGTAAGTGCTCCGTTGATAACAGTAATAGCTTTTTAAGTATCGCATTCAAGTGGCTAAAAGTGGTGATGTGCTGTTCTAAACATTTTAACTGCTTCTCTGAGCTGATGAAACTACGGCGCTTACAGAAAGTGAAAATTAAACCATGGCTAAATCAACTCTGAAGGTAACAGAAATAGATTTTAGAAATAGAAATAGAATTAGGACACCATTTCACACTTTCACAACTCATTTAATTTAAAAAAAAAGGCTTTTATCTAACTAACATGCTCACTGCAGACCATTAAGATATGTTCCTTGATTCTGCACATAGCTGTGCAATTACACTTTATGGTATCAGTTCAACTGGAGCCCCAGTTATAAGGCAGAGGATAAAGTTTTAGTGTTTGGATTAAGGGTGCCTCAAAAGCAAAAACATACATTGATAGAAAGACTCTTTGTTACTGGAGAGGTTTGAGTTAGTTAGCTCACTAGATTTGTTCATCGTCTTTTGAGAAACTCTCTTTTTGTCTGTGTCAACTGTTGTAAAACCACAACAGAAGAGAAAGACTTTGAATAGCAAAATGTTCCAAATGCAAATCAACAGCAGAGTCACCAACAATAAAAAGTGGCATGCACCTCATGTCAGCTAGACTTCTACTGCAAGGTATAAAAGATCTGTGGGCATGAGAAGTCTAAAGGGAGTCTAAAAGTCTTACGTCAGTTGGTCAGCTGTTGGGGGGTACCATCCATCCAGCCACTCATTTTCTTCTACTGAACCAATTCTCAATCACACCTATGGCCAATTTAGTTAACCTAACCCCATAAATACGTATATTCGAATGGCAGGAGGAAGCCACACAGAAACAGGGAGAACCTGCAAACTCGGACCAAAACTCAGACTGGATTCTTACGTTTAATTTTCTGAGGTTTACAGAAAAACTCAGCAGCTGTGCTGGTGATCTCAGGGACAACCAGAGTCATCAACAAAGCCTGGCATCTTCAGCTCTGAATACTTTTGTAGAAGCTGTATGCCACAGCCCTTTTTAATTTTCATATAAACTTGCATTCAAAGCTAATAAAGATTGAAGTGGATATACTAAACAAAAACATACGAATGCAGCTGAAAGCCTGTGAAAGCTTAGCTCAGTGTGATAATATGTGTGGTTTAATAGCTCAATCACGTCAAGAATTTTAGGATCATCATCTCAAACGATGCGGAGATGATGATCTAATGTTAGATGAGTGACAGTGAAAAGCCAAGTGCATTTCCCTAACCACCAACATAAACATGCAGATCCCCAAATAATTACTCTCTTAAGCGCAGCAGAGCTTAATATATGAAAGGTCAACAGAGAGTCAGCCAAATGGCAACACTAGCAACGTCAGTAATTCATGTGCCGAGTCTGTGTGTGTTTGTGGTGACTCTGCAGTACGGCCGCGCTTCAGCTGTCGTCCGAGTCAGATTGTGTTACATCCCACCGCACAGCTGACGGCACATGCAAACACACTCAGCATCGTCATACGTGTGTGTGTGTGTCAGAAGGCTACAGTGTTAAACTTTAAATACTTCAAACAATATCTTGGATTCTTTAATATGTTGGCATAGAGGCGAACAAGGACGCTCTGATTTTACAGACTTTATATGGAGTTTGTTTTTAAGCCTGTGTTTGACAAGCAGCATTAGAGACCTTATATTCTGCTGAGTGCTGGTTATATGCACACACACACGCACACATATATCATAGTGTTAACACTGTCAGCTGAACACAACAAGGAGTGTCTGTCTGATGATAATGCTGAGCTGTCGGCGACAAAAGCAGACAAGCAGACCCACGCACTCATACACAAAGTCCTCAGTGCCACCCAGCAGATACAGTTATTGCCACTAAGATGTCAGAACAATTTATTCTTTAAAGGCGCACACACTAATTAAAGTCTAAACTTTCCTTGACCTGAAGAGCAGACCTTTAGAGAAAGAAGACAAGGGGGAGGAAGATGGAAGTACCACACAAAAGCTGACAGACACCAGCTGCCAGCACTGCTGATTAACCCTGCTCTAAGTGTGGAAGCCTTCTGTATTTTAAGGATGTCATCAGCTGCTTAACCAGTGGAAACTGTCGGGGAAAGAGGATATGAGGCAACGAGCGCCCTGAGCAACAAACTGTTAAGCGATGGGAAGAACTTACGATTTGTCTCTGTGGTGCATGAAGCGTCGCTGGGGGCTGCTCTGTCGACGCCGCGGCGATAAGGACTTCCCTCGGCTTCGCTCTTTGATCGGTGACTGGGCACTGGATGATTTTAGGATCTTAAAAAAACAGAAGAATCAACATCACGAATTGTAGTTTATTAAAGTTTTAAAATTTATTAACATTCTGCAGACAGGACATGTTTTCATTCCTTTCTAGCTTATCAGTGTACTATCATCCAACCATTTTAAGCCGCACCAGCAGCAGTATGCACCAAAAAAGCTCTGATAACATCAAATATTAGAAAAAGTTTAGATAATTGATGATGGAAGTTGAATATCCAGTGACACTCGGGTCCAGCCGGAGTGTATTATGAGGTAAAGGTGATCACTAAGAAACCCTGGAGAACATCTCGGTGAATAATCATTAATGTTTCCCATTCAGAAATGAAGAATATTTGAATAGATAAAATATATGCTGCTGTGTATCTGACAGAGGCTAGTCAGTGTTTGGACACAATGTTAGCATTGATCCAACAGAAAGATTAAAGAACTTCAGACTTAAAAGCTGCACCTTAAGTCATGTTGCCTTTTCACCAGGTGGACAAAAATCATTGTCACCTATTTCAAGGTTAATCTTTTAATTATTATGAACTGTGATAAAAGTGCAGACAATACTGGAAAAGTTTAGAATGATGGCATTAAAAAAAGCAGTGAGTGAGAAGAGTTTGGCAAAACATATAGCTGTTTTCACCCTGCTTTCATATTTACAAAGAATCCCTGAACTTCTAACATTTCAGTGTACAGCGGTTATGTTAGCATGAAGACAACAGCTGCTGCTGCTAATCAACCGGAGGGAAGAAAGCGTCACCGTGATGAATGGAACAGCAGACAAATGTATGTGATAATGTGTTTTTCTCTATTTTTAATCTTTCTCACTGTTGTGACAGATGACTCATGCAGGCAATACAGTTCAGAGCGACAAATGAGGCATTCTTAGTGTATTAAGCAGCAACTTGAAGCTACCATTAAGCTCTCAGCAGGAGAAAAAAAGAAAAGGATGACTCCGGATGGCAAGTTTTCCTGAATGCAGTAAAGGAAGTTGCTAATATCCTGCAGCTGGTTGTGTTCGTCATGTGTTTGTGGTACAAACATGGATCGTATTTCTTTGTTTTTTGTAAGCAAAACTATTTTATTCCTTTTCTTTTTTCACCCTTTTTAAATGTCTGGTCCAATAGCTAAATTACATCTACTACACTGCTGAGTACCATTAAAACACCCGATTAAAGTGACTATTTGTTACGACTGTGCTTATATAGCAGCTTGTCAGCTTCACGTTTTCACTGTCATTTGGACAGAATTCCTATTTATCTCATGTCCGGCTCTTTATGTAACCTTGTGGTTCATGCTCTGTCTACAACAAAGGTTCTTATGAAGACAGAAATACAATCTGTGTAAAATGGAAATGGAAAGAGAATGCAATGATCTTCAAATCATATATTGTACTAGAAATAAAACACAGGAAACATATCAAATGTTTTACAGAGAAACTGCAAGAAAAATATATAGAAAAATAGTTGCCATCAATATTGAATTTGATGGCAACACAAAAAACTCAAAAATGCTGGTACAGCAGCGCAAAAAGGCTAGAAAAATATGCAGTACTAAAAACAAACAGCTTGAGGAACATTTCGCAACTAATTAAGTTTAATTGGCAACAGGTCAGTTATATGATTGGGTAGAAATAGAGCATCTTAGAGAGGCAGACTTTTATCATTCTGCAAAAAAAAAAAAAAAACTGACACAAATTATGGGGTGATTTCAGAATAATCTTCTTCAATATAAAACTGTACCGATTTTAAATATCTCACCATCTATAGTACATCAAATATCATCAAAGGTCTCAGAGAATCTGGAGAAATCTTTGTACACGAGAGACAAAGTCTAAGCTCTTCGGGCTCAAAGGCAGCACTACATTAAAAAGGGAAGGATTCTGTCATAGAAATCCTAGCAAGGAGCCAGGAAGACTTTTCAGACATCACTGTACGTGAACACAGCTCACTGTGCCAACCACAAATACAGGTTAAAGCTCCATCACCCAAAGAAGAAGCCATATGTGATCATGATCGTCAAACATCTGTGTCTTTTCTGGGCCAAAGCTTAAAATGGGCTGAGGCCAAGTGGAACTCTTGAAACTTTAAATTCTTTTCAGAAATCATGGACCCTGCATCCTTTGGACTAGAAGAGAAGATAAACCATCCAGCTTTTTTTTTTTTTTATCAGCACCCATTAAAAAAAGTAATCTTTGCCTGCATTAGCATTCATGGAATTCGCAATTTTTCAGCAACGTTCAGATCATGGTATTTTTAGGTCTTGCATATTTTAGCAAGACAATGCTAATCTGCATACTGTGTGTATTTAAAAGCATGGCTTCATAGTAGAAGAGTCATAGTGTGTGAAATGCCCTGCCTGCAGTCCAGTCCTTTCACCATCTGAAAACATGTGGTGCATTATGAAATGAAAAATTCAACAAAGATAATCCAGGACTGTTGAGTTACTAGAATACTAATACAAGAGTGGGAGAACGTTCCAAACGTCCAAAAAAGCTCCTCTCACTTCCCAGATGTTTACAGACTATTGTTAAAAGATAAAAGGGTGCTACACAGCGGTAAACATAGTCCCACTCCAACATTTAAAACGTGTTGCTGCCATTAAATTCAAAAAGAGCTAAACTCTTTCTTAAAATGCTGCATTTTCTCAGTTTAAACATTTGTTATGTTTTCTATGCTCTACTGTGAATAAAATATAGGTTTATGAGATTTGCGAATCATTCCATTTTGTATCTATTGACATTTTATACAGTATTACAGCTATTTTATTTTGTACATGGGCACAGACACAAACACACTCTATAATAACTTCACATCCTCTGGAGCACAGCAGATTATACTGCTGTGCTCACAAACCCCAATGCACTTGACCTGTGCCTGCCTGTGATTCTATGTGCATGTGAGACAGCTGCAACCTTACTGACCTACATAACTTGCTGACATACTGTACATGTTATATACTGTATCACCGTCTAACATCAGCGTCTATCACACAGCTACTCACACATTGCTTTCATGGAATTGCAAATGCTGCAGGAATACACAAAAAAGAAAGAAACTCATAATAAATACAAATAAAAACCTACGGGTCCTCATAAAACATTTAACCTTGTGCAAAACACTTCTGTGTCTCCCTTCCTCACACGTACACTCACACATTCCTTCTTCCCCATCGTGCCCTAAATAACTCTTGACAGTTTATATTCCCTGTTCAGCCCAAAGGAAACTACATCCATCTCTGGTACGACGGAAAAATATAATTAAGGTGTTTCCCTGGTTCTTTCTCTCTAAAAAAAAAAGCCATGTCTGTCCAAACAAAGGATACAAAATATTGCATTAGATTTGAATCACAGATAGCAAAGTCGCTTTTATTTTAAAATTTAATTAATACGACCATAAACTGAAACTGTGTGTGTGTGTGTTTGGTTTTTAAAAGGTCCTTTTTGTCAGCTGATCTAAGTTTGAGAGACATTTTTCACAGTTTTCACTGAATTTTGTCAAACAGACCTCTTTCCCACAGTGTGGAATTACCCACTTTTCCCATTTTCACCTCCTAATATTCAGTTTTTCAGCATCTTGGCTGATTTATTTTGTGGTTTGGTTGTGGTCTGTATTTTCCACTGCTGCTGACTGTGGGCTGCCAGTTTTCTCTTCCATTCCAGGCTGTTCTTACTTTCTCCCTTAGTGTGCAACCCTTTTTCCATTTATGCATTATTGTATACATAATATATCTAAGTCTGCCGGTTAGAAAAAAATGTCTGAATGTTCACAAAGTTGCTTTTTTCTCTTTTTTTTCAAACCAATAAAGGTGTTTCTGACCTGATTAATATTTTAAATGGTGGAGCAATGCTGTGAGACTCTATCTAGTGTCTATGTGGTGTAATATACAAAACAGGAAACACCAAACCTTAAGTGATGGTGATGGAACATTTAATCATCAAGTTGAGAAAAGCATTATTTCAAGCAAGCTATAAAGTTAATTTAATCGGAAACGTTGACATTGCCAGCCCACTTTAGCTGATACACTTCTAAACACCCAAACGTCAGCTTCTTTAAAAGGTTCTTTCTTACAAGCCTCATTCACCCAGTCACACACACATTCATACAAGCACCTTGCCTAACATTGGCACACAGTCACATGGGATGGGAAAAGAACCACCAATTCTGCAATTGGTAGATGAATCGCTCTGCCTCCTGAGCCACAGTAGCTTTACCCGACCTGCATTTGCTGTGAATCTGCAAGCCACTGTGCAACCCACCATCACCCCAGTTCTTTGTTTTCATGCTGTTTCTGACTTAATTGATAACATATATATTGCCATTGATGATTGCTTTTTCATGTACTGCCCAGGGCAGCAAATTCCCATAACAGAGCTGTGGCACAAAAGTAAATTAAGTGTACAGAGAAAAATACCCTGGAGCATATCTGTATGTGAATACACAATATGTACCTTCATCCTCATGTCCCGCCCATGTTTCTCTAGCTCTTTTTTCATCTCCTGAGCTCCCAAACAGGCCAGGTTCAGCACCAAATGCTTCCATTCAATTGGCTGGAAGACATGTGGGTCGTGAGGCACGTACAAACCAATCTTCACCTGGTAGAAACAGAAAATGTGTTTAAAGGTTCTTCATTAACTCTTGGACTGCATTTATTTCCCACACCCTTTATCTTCTTCCTTTACCTTCTTTAGTGTGTGCTGGTATCTCTTGTAGGAGTTTTCAAATTCAGCCACCAGTTCTCCGAGAGTCCGATGGGTGAGTGGTTTGTCCATCAGGTCCTGGCGGCGGCTCATACCTAGCGACCCATACCGGCCATTGCAATAGACGCCCAGCACAACATGGTGAAAGCAGTGACCCGAAAACTGGGTCTTAAAGCTGATGGGGAAACGCTCGAGAGATGTCAGCCCATTGGTCAGGTAGCTGATCAACACCGCAGGATTAAGGAAAGATCTGGAAGTTTTTTTGTGGTGTAAAAATATTATTAGGGTAAAATAAATGTCTGCTGTGCTTTTATTGCACCTCTGGAACTGCTCAAAAATTATTTACCTTTGAGTACAAACCTGAGAGTGAAAGTGTATTTGTTTGAATTTGTCACAGCAGAGGAAGCAAACTTGAGCAGCTTGAGTTGTTTGAAATGAGATTCAGTCTGACTCTCAGAAGGCCTATAGTATGAAAATGTCACTGGGTAAATAATGTCTTCTGAACACAGTTTGTGTGCTCATGAGAGTTTGTGCAGCTCCTTCGGTCTTACTAAATCTGTCAGGTTCACTGATGTTTTTACATTTATTCAACAAGGAAAACAGGGGCAGAGAGATATGATCTGTCTGGTACAGAGGACACGATAACACACACATACACATCAGATCATATGTCTACTAATCCTAGTGACTCACCAAGACGTCACAAATGAAGGCGGGATTCGACTGCATGTTCATACCATAAAGACATGTCAGTCCTGTTTTAGGCCACGCCCCAAAACACACCCTTCTTTATCACCTATTTAACTTAGAAACTAAGCTTCATGCTGTATTAGGTCAAACTCCAGACTGGCTATTAATACTGATGAGGAAGGTTTTTACTGAGGTGACAAATCAAGTGATTGAGGTTGATTTTCCAATTGAATTCTATATATTAGTTCTGTTTTTGCAATCACAAAAATTTATAGCTTTTTCAGTAAATTATTGAATCTATATTTAGACAGATCTCATCCTGTGTACTGCACATCTTCATGCTACATGCATCCAACTGTAGCAATCTGTTCTACCATACAGCAACAGAGAAACTTGGAAGATGTCTTTGTGGGCCAGTAGCCAGCCATCTGCCCTGTTCTGCCCATGGATGGAAGTCTGCCATTGGTTAGAACACATGTCTGTCACTTCACCAGCCTGGATGCCACAGCACTGCTGTGTTTTCATTAAATATTCACAAAGCAGACCACTGATGACATGCACATACCAATGTATTTCAATGTGTCTCTCTGGCTGTGTGGGGGAGTTTGTGGTTTTAAAGTAGAACACGGATCTAAACAGGGTTGGCTGGACAGTCAAGTAAAGAAACCACTGAACTTCCACAGTCAGTGTGCTGCCCAAGTGACTAAACCTTGGGATGAATGCTTGGACGGTTACACATAGGTTTTATTTGTGCCCAAAAATACCACCTGCATTATTCCCCTTAACAAAATACAAACAAAATAACTTAATCAATTAATAGCACAGTCAAAATAGAGTTAAATGTGTTAAGAATGTGCTTTTGCTTCTATCATATTGATCATATATTGAAATATTATTTTAAGTAGGCACACTGTTTTCAATCCACAGACTCAGATATTGATACACCTTAACTGGTCCACTTGACATCCCTCTCACTTACAAAAAGGATTGGAAAACTTCAGTTTATCAAAACAACACAAACCTGGTAATTTTTTTGCTACTTTTAGCAACTTTTTACATCCTTTCAGCAACAAAAGCCTATGGAGTTCACTACTTTGCAGCAAGATCTTGCCTTCCTGGCACAGCACAGAGCTCTCTCTCTGGACTGTTGATTAGATCAGTCAGAGGGCAGCTCTTTCTATCATCCCGTTCTAGTTGTCTTTTTTTTTTTATTTGCAATCATGTAAATAGATATGAAATCACAGCACAGTCACTATCTTTGATTCTTTGAATATTTACTGTTGATTACCAATGAAGCTCAAGAAGCCCCCAAAAACTGATCCTGAGTATCCTGATATAACCGACTGTCACAAAATTAATCTAAACCACAATGGTTCTGACAAGAGATATTTTAAATCAGGGTTGATGATTGTCTTATCCTATTCTAATAACAAATATCATAAAAATATTTAAACATGTTCATTAGTAAGAAGCTTTTATGAGTGTCATATTTTATTGTGATTCCTTTTCTTCATTGGCAAAAAAGAAGAATGATCCACCAATGACAAGAATGCCTGGACGCCAAATGTTTATGTTTGGCATCAGCTTTAACTTCCTCTGACAGAGGACAGTGACAGTGTTTCACTTTGGATCAATATTTATCCTGCAGAATGAATACAAACATGAAAATCATACACCAACACACCCTGCTGTGTCTTGCTAATGAATGCTTCATTAGACAGGCGTACTTCCTGTGCCAGAGGACATGCGACACTGCTAGCAGTAGCTCCCTGACTGAGACTGCGACTACAAGAGCACCTATCACTACCTCACACTACTCATCCATCTGTCAATTCTAAAGCAAAAATGAAAACGAACCTCTGTGGATTAGTTTCTCTGCCCCACAGGCATGCTCTAATGCAACAGAAATCCATACTTGTTCTGTTTCTGAAAAGCAGAGGTAACTGAAAAAACGTATAAATATAAATTTAATGCAGCAACAATGTTCTGATTAACTCTCTCACTGTTCCTCTTACCTTTTGCATCCTTTTCCTCTCCAATCCTCTACCCTCCCTTCCTCAAGTTTCTATGTTAGTGCAAAGATTAAAGATAATATTTTAGAAGAAGCATAAAATTCCCTTTACATACATTTTTCCTTTAATCAAGGATATACTAGGATACTTCCAGCTTTGTGGTCTTTCCTTATTTTAAAACAGTAAAACCTTATATATATTACATGCTTCATGCTGTGTTGATATATTGTATAATGGCAGATTTTGCTGGATTATTTTGATTTTTATAAACAACTGAGTTTTACACTAGGATTCAAGTGGAGGCTGCTTTGTGCTCTAGCCTTACTCTGCAAAGCACCAGTCGGTGATGGCTAATACAATGGGACACGTCACACACACACACACACACGTATACATGCACGCACGCAAACACATGCATGCACACACACAGAGCTGGTTGGACCCAAGATAAACCCTGCATATCCTGGAGAGATTTCAGATCACTGATAACGTGGAAGAACAGAGAACCAGAAGCAGAGGACAGACTAAACCCAGACAGACAGCCCCCACCATTACAGACTACAACAGGGGCTACTCATCCCTTTTTCTTGCCTACGTTTCTATCTTGGCTTTCCACTACTTCTCACAGCGTGACTCTTTCTCACAAATGAAGTGTTTTGATTAAGTTACCAGGTAGGTTAACGTTGCAGGTAAATGTGTGTGAGTGACACTGGGTCATTCTTGTTTCACAATGATCCATACAGATTTTTATGTCTTTTAAGTCACTGTATTTTATGTGTGATTATATTATTTAGGACATTATTTAATACTGATGATCCATTGCGTTAAGTCATTTCAAAATCAACTGGTTAGGTTGGTTATGCATTAGCATAACAATAGCTGGAATCCAAGGAAGGTGTGTCTATTAATTGGTGTGGCCTTGGTTGACATTCAAATTACATGTAAACCACTGTGGCCAACAGGTGAGGCCTCATAGCTCAGTGGTTAGAGCACTGGTCTTGTAAACCAGGGGTTGCGAGTTCAATTCTCGCTGGGGCCTGAGAACTTTTCTTTTCCCCCCGTTTAAATTATATTTATCTGTCCTGACCTCATAACACAACCAAAGGTGAAACCACACAATTACTGTCTCTTATAGCTCTGAATGTCACTGTGGGGTTCTTTAAAGGGCATGCAGCAAATAAAAAAACAAAAACTGCCACCGTCTTATAAATTCTCCTGTCCTATGGTGACCCCCCGCCCCCCAGAGCTCCTACCGTCCCCTCCATTTCTCTCTCTCCCTAAAGCCAGTCTCAATTAAAGTCACTGTCAGCTGTCACCCTCACAGCCCTTGAGGAAAGCAAATATGAAACTAGCACATGCGAAACTGGACCATCAGTTCACAGACGGGGAGAGAAATCTCTCATCTGGTGACACTCAAAAGTCCTAGTTTCCTGACCTGCTGCTTGTATTTGAAAAGTATTTGGTTGCACTGAAACAATTTTAATATATTTGGTTTTGCAAACTAAGCCATTATTTCACATGTGTGCAAATCCAATCAATCAAATGTTGCAATGCAATGTGGTAGGATTTATAAAGTGTGGACCGAAATTCAAAAAGAATTCAACTTCTGAGGCCAAGGGATGAAGCATATCCAAGCTCTCTTGGGGCAACGGGTGGGGTATACACTGGAAAGGCCATACAGAAAGGCCCCAGACTGGATTTAAACACAGGACCATCCAAACCGCCATTGTTCAACATCTGCTGATAGATCAAATAATACTTTGTATCTTTCAGTTTAATGGTTAAAGCTTGTAATATATTTTTTCAATATGGAAAAATGTTACTTTTGACATGTTACTTTGGTCTGATAAACATAATCAATGAAACAAAACAGAAGCAGCACATTTGCTACAACAGTCATTTTAAACAATAACTCTAAATCAAGGATGGTTTAACAGCTGAATGAGGCTGAATTACACTGTTGGGGTCAGCGCCTTAGTGAATTTACCATTTAAAAATAAAATCACTTCATAACATTTTCTTCAAAATGATACACATACTCAGTACAAGTGTATTTCTGTGAAGATGGCCATTTGGGTGTCAACTGGCCTTTGAAACCAAGTGGCCACTAGAGTAACTGCAGTTTTTAAGCACCTCTGCATGGCTTTATTTGGAGTTTAGTGCATGGAAAAGCATTACAGTTCAGCATATCAAAAACAACAACAACAAAAAAACAACTGGCAAATCACTTGTGGTAAATAGTCAAGACAAACATTTCCTTTTAGAACAATGATGAAGAACGAGTTCAGATTCTAATTTTGCCATAAGCAAACATGTTTTCAAGGAATTGAAAAAACACTTTCTCCAATCTAAATAGAGAAGGAGTTGCAAAAATAAAGCACTGCTGCTTTAAAATTTAAGCTCTGCTGGATGATACTAAGCTGGTGAGTATTGGGGGGGGGTCGGTTAAACTTTGAAGTGGGCTTGTTGCCAAGCAACACGGCAAGCGCTGGAAAGAGTGGCAATGGTGGGGAGCATTAGGATATTACAGCAGCATGTTTTATTGATTTCACCCACAGATAACAAAATGACCTTTTGGTCCTCTGCTTAGTGTGTGCGTGCATGTGTGTGTGTGCGTGTGTGTGTGTATATACAGGAAAGGATACATTCCCAAGATGACGGCCTCGAGGCATTTGATTGGTAAAGACTCCCTGATCATCTCTCTTGCTGTCTCCATTAATCTGAATGGGGAGGAAGATGATGAGACGAGGAAGAGGAGGGAAAGGGAAGGGTTGGAAGCAATACACCTTGCACAGAGACAGCATTGAATTAGACACATAAATTAGGCACCGTGGTAATGTTACATCCCAAAGTCATAATCAAGCAATCAATTCTGTTTTCTTCCTCAGTGTTCTTCCTCCTTGTGGTGAACTTAGCTGTTGCTTCCTATTCAAGCCAGCTTTTCATCCAATCAGTAAAGATGATGACAAAAGGGTGCTAATAGGACAGTTCTGTTAATATTACTGTGATTGAGTCACAGTAATTACATGTACTTGCCAAAGCTGCAGTTCACTTACCCACACAGTGGACGGCTCTTCTTGATTTCAAAGAACTGAGTTCCTGTGTGGTTATATCTGATGGAAATGTCAGGGACAACAGCGACTTTACAACACTTCAGTCCTGTGCCTCAACTCCTATTGACAGAAGTGATTATGGTGTTTTGATCACTTAAAGTCTATAAGAGCACGTGAGGCAATAGCAGGACTAGCTTCACCTGACAGATAAAAGCTTATACTGTCCTCCCTGTCGTGCTTGTGATAAAGGATACTGCAGAGCCTTCATGAAGTTCTGGACGGCCAACAGCCAGTCTGGGACAGACATGGACGGCTTGAAAGTTGGAATTGAGGGAATTGGATGCTGGAAAGAGAAAAAGAGAGAGCATTAGAGATATTTTTTCCACATCATTTTCAGTAAGTCGACATGTGGTAACACTCAGAGCCCCCAAACCTCCTTCCGCCATCTTTAAAAAACCCTGCATTCCTAATGTGCTGTGACTCATTGCATCTCATACAGCTGACACACACCGTTGTTCCTTAAACCAGTCTTCTTTATTTTTAAACAACAAACACCTCATTAGAAACTCACCTCTCTTTATACTCGAGTGCAGTGCATGTCTGACACACAACATGAGCAAGTCTCTAACCCAAGATATTAGGGTCATGTGCTCTGCACCACCTCTACGCCCACAGACACCCACATGGTGAAAAGCAACATGTGGTGAAAATGAACTCCCACTGCTGCTTTGGCAGCTGTTTCACCTCAACAAGAACCACTACAAAGAGGAAACAGCGGCTGCAAGTGTGGATACATGAACGGACGCGACCACACCAAGAGAGGGTGAGTCAGGCTGAAATACAGACCGAAACTTCCTCATACACAGGCAGCCTGCGTGATGTACATATGTGTGTGTGTTTGTGCGTGTTTGTGTGCAGGAAGGGTGAACCATAGCACAAGGCCTATCATTTCCTGTGGGGTTTTGCTCCATTCTTTATTGACAGCATAAAAAGGGAAGTGAGAAGGAGGACAACAGAACAACATGGTGACACAGCTCTGCATGTTACAGTGTTTTCGGTCGCTTGTCTTTCGTTTCCATAAAGAAAGATTTTAAAAGAAGGAAGTCAGAAAGGTGTGTTTTACAGTCCCACAGGAGGTATTTCACCTACATGCTTCAGTTGTTGGCCTCGTTCATGTATGATAAACAGACACATTTCTAATTTAATCACTAATGCTGTCACAACAAACAGAGTCACACTGTAACCCAAAACATATTTATAAAATTGCAGCATTATATGTTTTTTGAGCCCAAACTTAAAATGATAGAAATGCTAATTTCATTTCTATGTGCAGCCAGCTTCTTGGTAGAAGGCTAAGCTATATGACACAACTAAATTGAAATGATCAAAGGTAATTAACTTTGGACTGGTTTAAGGGTTTATGTGATATGTTATGTGGAACATGCAGTTAAAATTCACATACACACTTTAGTGTATTTATGTTTGGGCCAGTGTAGCCTCAGTGAAACTGAGCTGATGCTATCCTACATCTGACTGTTTCATCTAGGTCCCTTGGTTTGTCCATAATCTACGATGGTTTGACAATTTTGACAGTTAGCCTGATCCTACTCAGTACAGTACTGCTGCAGTATATAGGCTACACACACTTTAAACTAATATCTGACAAGGATCAATTTAAATTGAAATCTATTAAATCTAGCTTAAATGGTTGCCAATTAACTTGTGTTTCCATAGAGACAAAAAAGTCAAATCGACTTTAAAGCAGACGCCAAGCCAGCCAGGCAACCTGTCAGACAGTAAGTCACAGAGCAAATAAAATAATCAGCCAACTGGCCACTCGTACAGTTATTAGGCAAGTCAAAAGTCATTCAGCCCATAAATCAGTCTGCCAGCAGGCCCAAACCAGTAAATAGCAGGTTTTACTACCACATAATCTCTCATGTAGTGAAATCCTCACTAAGGCGTTATGGAGTGGCTACAGCAACTGACACACACACAAACACGTGCACGCGCACAAACACACTAAAGCGGCTTTCGTCTGGGTCAGGGAGTGAGATGAGTGGTGATCTCTCCGTTATCATCCTCCCCTCTCTCCTTTCCGCTACAGTAAAAGGATGATGGTGGCTTGCACAGCTTAATGTCCTTGTGAAGCGTGCGTTAAGCAATCACATTGGATATATATGTACAATATGCAGCACACTCTTATTAACTATAATATGTGTGTCAGTGTCAGGATCCAATAGCCTTCCCCCTGTCTATTAAGAGTTCAGCTTGGAGAGCATCAGTTCAGAGCCACAGTTAACACTGATAATTAATCTGTCACTGGTTCCTTTCCTGTTTTCCTCCGTCCTCTGTAATCTTGTCCCTTTTCCTCTTTCTTCTCCAACCATCCTTTTGTTATGTTTTTATACTCATCTCTACTCTACTCTTCTTTTGCCCTTTCTTTCCCATTATATTCTT